CTCGTGCGATCCACGGGGTTGTTTCTGTGCGGGGGGGGGGGGGGCGGGGACGGTGTTACAGTATGAAGGATTTTGTATTTACTGAGTACTTACAATGTGCCGGGAGCTTTGTATGTATTATCCGCATTTAATCCTCAAGATTAAATGGGTGGTTTTACCCATTTAATGTAAAAAAAAAATCCATGGGTGTTTTTACCACCACTCATGGTTTGAGATGAGGAAACTGAGGCTCACCCCTCGGGAGTGCAGCGGGGCTTAATTTGGGGCCCAGGGAGGTCTGGCTCCAAAGACCACATTTGGTTCCTCTGCCTCCGACCCCGAATTCAGGGGACAGGGCCTCCTGGAGTCAGGGCAACAAATTCTGAGCAAGAAGTGGACCTGTGAACCTCGCAAGCGGGGCTTCATCCCGGGCGAGAGGCCTGGGCAGCTCGGGGCAACACTCGGGTCAACACCGGCGACTAAGCAGGGGTCGGGGAGCGCCCAGCGCGGGGCCTCGACCCGCGCGGCCCTTACCCGGACCCCAGACCCGAGGGTCGGAGAGCGGGTCGACGCGAGATGGCGGTCGCCCGCGACAGCTGCCCTTTACCTCTCCGGCTGCCATCCATGCTTAGATCCTCTTGCAGCCGCCGTGGGGACACGCTGGGTCCCCTCTGGTCCTTCCCGGGGCCGGGCCAGCCCCCGCAGCAGACGTTTGGCGAGAAAGAAGCCACGGGCGGCGGCATGAGCCGGAGACTGACGCAAAGCAGGTTGCTAAGTGCAGCCTCCAAGGCGCCGGGATTGTGACGTCACGGCGCAGGGACGTGCGCTGCCGCGGCCCCGCAGCCCCGCCCCCCGCTGGAGAGGACGCTAGGGTGGACGGGCTGAGCGGGGAAAGATCCCCAAGCGCCAGTCTGTTGCTCTGGATCTCTGCCAATAGTCCACAGAGCGGCCGCCAGTCAGGAGTCGAGCCACCAGCACCTGGCAGGCCTCATCCCTTCGGGAAGAGAGGGAAGAGATGGTAGTCTCATCTGGCATCCATGTCCCTTGGGTCCCGGAAGGAAGCCAAACGCAATTGTTGGTTGAGGTCAGGGTAACATTTAACCAGCTCCAAATAATTAAATTTCCAAGCAGTACGTGAACATTTGGATTGGTGAAAATCCTGGGGATGAAAAACATCTACATATTTATATCTTAATTCTTAACCCCAGTAATCAGTTTGCATTTCCTTTCTGCTTACTGCGCTTCCTCCATCCTCTTCCACCACCCCCCTCCGCCTTTTTTATCTTAAGGCGCCAATGTGTTTTCCTTTATGATGGAAGAGAGTTGCAACATGAACAAGGCATTGATTTATCCGTGACTTTGAACAATTTGTTTAATTTTGAAGGAGTTACTTTTGAATCCTTGGAAATAAGAACAGAATGGGGTGTGGAGCATAGTAATGTGTCGCTTCTCAGCAGCAGCTCTACTGACATTTTGGGCTGGATTCATAATTCTTTGTTGGGGGGTGGCTGTCCTGTGCACTGTAGGATGTTTAGCAGCATCCCTGGCCTCTGTGCACTGCATGCCAGTAGCAACTCACCCACTCCACCCCTGGTTGTGACAAAAAATGTCTCCAGCTGTTGCCAAAGTTCCCCTGAGAGACAAAATCGCACACACACACACACACACACACACACACACACACACACACACACACACACACACCCAACCTCTGCTGTAATGGAAAAAGTACTGGCTTTGGAGTCAGATATGTGGAACTTAATTGTGAGTTTTTTGCCACAGTTAGTTCCTAAATTTCTTGAATTAGTTTCCAAACCTCTCCAAGCCTCAAGCCTCTCTTTTCTAAGATGTAAGAGATGCTACTAACTTTGTAGTTGTAAGGATTAACACATACAGTGCCTGGCAAAATGAGATGTTCAGAAAATAAAAGTTTTCTCTCTTCTAAGACTTTGTCTCGGAAGAACTTGGGTATCAGGAAATTCAGGCATAAGGGAGTAAGTCAGGAACACTATGAAAAGGAAAGGGGAATATACCAGAAATTCATCTGAACTCCTGATTCTCTAAGACTCTAGGGAAAGGAGAAAATTAGATTCAAAATCTGAGAAATATGGAAGTGTGTGTGATGGTTCTGTGGCCCCCAACAGCAGAAGTCATTTAGAAGGGTGCAGCGGTAGAGAGTCAGGTGTTAACCAGAGAACAAAAACACTCTTGCCTACCTACTCATTAATGCTTGAAATCCCTGTCTAAAAACATGAAACCTTTTATTCCACTACTAGCATCTGGAAAATATCTTGCATATAATAGGCCTCCAGTAAGCATTTGTTAGATTGAATTAGAACCAAAACATAAAGGGCAAACGCCCCTGGGAGAAGCAACACAGTGACTTGACTCACACAAAGGTGATGCCAGCTTCTCTTGTGAAAGTAGATTTTGGGTATCAAAAGTAAATTTTAGTTTCAGATAGGAAAGGGGCTCCACGATTAAGCGAGGACAGCAAAGTGGGAGAGGGTTCTGAAGACTATATTGCTTGCTATCCAACTTTAGTGGAAGCCATCCTCATTTCATTATTTTTCTTTTAAGTATTTTATCCCAATTCTTTCAAGAAGTGGACAATAGGGTCTTTTTCTCTCCAATCTTAGCAGAGAACATATTATAAGTGCATTTTAATTTGTCCTTGGCCTTCACTCTACGTGTATAAAGAAGAGAAAGAAGATCCTTTCTGGTTGCTGTTCCCAGGAGATAACCCATGATCATAGGCAGATGCATGCAGCTAATATGGGCTTATTGTAGATTTAGCTTCCAGGAACACGCTTCCACTGGGGAATCACCACCAGCTGCAACAGTCTTGGAGAATAGACATTCCTGAAGACCTTTTGTTGAGTATTTAAACATGAATTTCTCATTGTTAAGAAATCATTCCAATGGTACATTTTTTTTTTTTTTTTTGGCAGTACACGGGCCTCTCATTGTTGTGGCCTCTCCCATTGCGGAGCACAGGCTCTGGACGCGCAGGCTCAGTGGCCATGGCTCACGGGCCCAGCCGCTCCGGGCATGTGGAATCTTCCCAGACCGGGACATGAACCCGTGTCCCCTGCATCAGCAGGCGGACTCTCAACCACTGCGCCACCAGGGAAGCCCCCAATGGTACATTTTTGTTATTTATATCTGGAGGCTTGTATCTGTATTTTAGAAGGAAAACAATTTTCTCCCTTAATGCATTGCTATGTTTACTTTTATTATTGAGTTTCTTCTTTTTGTCTTAGCTTGTCAGCTCAAAACTAAGACTTGTGCTCAGTTGCAATAACTATTCATAGCCTATTTTTCTATTTATCTCTTTAATTCCCTTTATTAGGCAGGTGGCTTTTATTCTTCTACTCTTATTTAATGGTTTAATCAAACCTACTTTTTAAAGCATTAAACATGAGGTTTATTTTAAGTACGAGTCCACTGTGTGTTATACTGACAGTAGATACAGGGCCAGAATAAGTTTGTA